ACAGGGTGAGGGGTGCAGGTGACAGGGTGAGGGGTGCAGGTGACAGGGTGAGGGGTGCAGGTGACAGGGTGAGGGGTGCAGGTGACAGGGTGTGGGGTGCAGGTGACAGGGTGTGGGGTGTAGGTGACAGGGTGTGGGGTGCAGGTGACAGGGTGTGGGGTGTAGGTGACAGGGTGTGGGGTGTAGGTGACAGGGTGTGGGGTGCAGGTGACGGGTACAGGGTGCAGGTGACGGGGTGCAGGTGACAGCTCGGGTGCCAGGTGCAGAAAGCCTGGCTCACAGTGCAGACCTGGCGGCTCTGCTGCCCTGAGTCCTCAGCCCAGACAGGTGCCCGAGGCTGCTGGGAGGCTCCCGGTTCCCTCAGGAGTCCGGCATCAACTGCCATGGGGACACCGCCATTGTCCCATGTTCCCACAAGGCTTGGGGTTGAGTTTCGCCACTTCTGATGAGCCTGAGCAATTTGTCCCTCATGGGCCCTGCTGAGCTAGAGGAGAGGAATGCTGTGATTGGCCAGCCCTCACTGTGGCCAGAGGAGAGGAATGCTGTGATTGGCCAGCCCTCACTGTGGCCAGAGGAGAGGAATGCTGTGATTGGCCAGCCCTCACTGTGGCCAGAGGAGAGGAATGCTGTGATTGGCCAGCCCTCACTGTGGCCAGAGGAGAGGAATGCTGTGATTGGCCAGCCCTCACTGTGGCAGAGGAGAGGAATGCTGTGATTGGCTAGCCCTCACTGTGGTCAGAGGAGAGGAATGCTGTGATTGGCCAGCCCTCACTGTGGTCAGAGGAGAGGAATGCTCTGATTGGTCGGACGTAGGTCACAGGTGTAATTCGGAGACTGAGTTGGGGGATCAACCCTCCCCCAGGTCCATGGAGGGGGAGTGTGGGGAGGGGTTCCCTGGGGAGATGGTGCTGGCACCAGCAGGGGGGCGCACCCAGGGGAAGATATCAAGGGCTGCTGTGGGCCTGGCCCAGGCTTCCTGCTGGCGGGTCCTGCCCCACGTGGTTGGGACCAAGCCCTGCTGGGACTAGCTCCCTGGGCCCCTGCCCTGGGGGGCTCTCCCTGCACCTGCCCTTCCATGCGGCCACCCCTGCTGTGGGGGGCTCTCCCTGCACCTGCCCTTCCATGCGGCCACCCCTGCCGTGGGGGGCTCTCCCTGCACCCGCCCTTCCATGCGGCCACCCCTGCCCTGGGGGGCTCTCCCTGCACCTGCCCTTCCATGCGGCTACCCCTGCCATGGGGGGCTCTCCCTGCACCCGCCCTTCCATGCAGCTACCCCTGCCATGGGGGGTTCTCCCTGCACCTGCCCTTCCATGCGGCCACCCCTGCCGTGGGGGGCTCTCCCTGCATGAGAGGCCGGGTCCCTGCGTCTGGCAGAGGCTCTGCGCACAGCTGAGGCATCTTTCTGGCGCTGCTGTCAGCGTGGACGTGGCCCCTTGTCGTGTGCTTGCAGCCCCTCAAACCCGGGGCTGCGCTGTGGTCCCCAGGCCTGTGCGGGGCCGCCTGCAGTTGCGTTATACACTTGTAACGAATGCCGGAGGCTCCAGTAAGAGGTCTGCTCTCTCATCCTCCCGGCTCTCTGGGGTCTAGAAGGACAGTTTGTAGTAATCTGTTCGGAACAGACTTCAGTTGCCCCCGGTAATCAGACCCCTGGTCAGAGCACGGCCACTTGGAACAGGGCTTGAAGGACAATGTAGTGACAAAGGGTGAGAGGGAGAAATAGCTTTGTCACGTATGACGTTCCGTGCTCTCTCTCTTGCTGACTTAAGCCCTGCAGGCCTGCAGCGCCTGGGCAGAGTCAGCCTGTCTCAGATGTTTCTGGGATCTCAGTTTTGCGTGTGGCTCTGGTCAGCGACGGCTGAGGTTCTGAGGCTGTTCAGCTGGGATTCACCTCTCCCACCCCTCAGGGCGTGGAGCACAGCACCAGCTTCCCAGGGTGCTAGAGCCCCACTGTCATTCCCGGGGGGACAGTCGGTCACCCCAGGTCCTCAGTCCCACCCCCTGTCAGTCCTTCCTGCCTGCACTCCCCCTGCAGAGGTTTGGGTTCTCCGGACCTGGTCTTCAGGGCCCTGCAGCCGCCTGGGTGACCCTCACATGCAACGGCCTGAGGGCCTGGGCACCCCCAGCCCCGACATCAGTGGGGATTGGGATTGCAGGGAGGCCCGAGCTGAAAGGGGCCGAGCGCAGCCTTAAGCGATTCTGTGGCCCGGTGCACGGTTCAGCGTGTGGCGGCCAGCGTGGCCCTGTGTCTGCTTTTGTTTTGTTGTTCGTTTTTTTTTTTTTTTTTTTTGTTTTTTTTTTTTGCGAGCAGAGTCCCGATTTTGTTTTTGCCCAGGCTTCAGAGTGACTGCCGTGGCAGTCAGCCTCGCTCAACCAGCACCTCCGCCGCCTGGGGGCTCCGCATCCTTCTGCGCCTCAGCTCTCCGAGTCGCTGGGCGCTTACCGGCCTGCGCCATGCCGCGCTGCTTTTTTCTTATCTATATCGTCGGGCCCTTACCTTTCTTTCCTGTTTTACTCGTAGCAGAAGCGGGTCTTCTCTCTTTGGGCTCCCGGCTGGTTTTTTGCGACCTCGCTGACCTCGGAG